GTGGTGTATGAGTAAAGTGGAGACTGAGATCCACACAAGGAAGAAGAACAAGAAGAAGAGGCAACAAAGGTATAACCCCCTGGCAAGGTCTGTTGGCCAGCCCCGTTGAGTGGTGGACTATGGAAACGGACCATGGTAAGGTCCGTTGCCAGGCTTCGTGGCTTAGCGGGGCTGAGTGGTGGGGCTTCTCAAGCCTCGTCACCAAGCCCCGCCAGGCCAAAAAGTTACTGGCCGGGCCCTTTGAGGCTCAGCTACGCGTTGTTCAGACTGGGACTCGTGGGCCCTTGAGGCTTGGGGACTCGGGCTCGTTATAACACACTCGTGGAAATTCGGTTCGTTGATTTTGGAATTGTGAAACATAATTTATATATGTTTTTGTGAAGAGTATGTGTGCTGTGTTGATAATTTTGGCATGTGAAGCATTCCAGTGAAGTGAAATAAGCATCAGATTATATCTTATGATTTGAGAAACATGTTAATTACTTTTTATTTGATTTAGAAGCATGTGAAATTACTTGCTAGCATCTACTGAAGAGTTTTGCTGAGCTTTGAGATTTATTGCTTAAGAAGTACTGTTTTATGAGTTTACAGTGAATAGAAATGAGAAGCATCAGACTTAGTTATTTAATTGAAGAGCATGTTAATGGTTTGATTGATAAGAGTATGAAGCATGGACTCTATTTGTTAAGTTTTGCTAGAAAAGCATGCCTAAAACGTCTATTATGATTTATTGAGAATTTTGCCAAGAATATTAAATGTTGAAGTGTACAGAGCATGTTCTTCTTGAATGCTAGATTACAGTAAATGAGATTATGTTGAGTATTTTGAGTTCAAGTACATGTTGAATACTTGCTAAATGTTTGCCAAAGAAGATTAGCTAAGTTATGATTTATAAGCATGTTTATGAAATTGTTGAGAGTTCACAGTGAAAGAAGTTTTGAAGCTTACTTTACAGTAAAGTGCATATTTGAGCATACCATGTTTTTAAAAGTGCATAAGTGGCCAATGTGAGCCTAAGTACTATTTTAAAAAATCTATATTTATTTTGGAAAATCATTATCTAGTTGCATTGAGAAGTCACATGATATTTGATTTCCAATTTGTAAGAAAAGAGAAGTTGTTGAGAAGCATTGTGCATAAGTTTGCATGAATAAAGTTGTTGCATGAGAAAGAAGTTGCATAATATATATATATATATATATATATATATATATATATATATATATATATATATATATATATATATATATATATATATATATATATTGTGAGGAAAACGATATTTTGGAGGACCGTTAGTAATATGTCCTTTCGGAAGAAAAGAGATAAGATCGGATAGAACCGACAAAACAGTAATGGACATTGCGAGCCGACAGACTCAACATGTAACGAGGTCGATATTCCCGAGTTACGAGGTTGGAGACTTCCCGTCGGGTTTGGAATCCTGGTTAGGGGGTGTGCACACTAAAAGTACCATACCTGATTCCACAGAGAAAGAAAGATTAAGAACCAAGAGAGTGGTTCTGTGGGCGAGTAGAGTATTAAGCCAGCTAGATTGTCGAGCATGTATAGGTTCATTCATGAGTGTGAAGGTCCTACCTTGCCCACGAGTATAAAGAAAGCGAGTCATTGCGACTCTAAAGAAAGCGAGTCATTGCGGCTCTAAAGAAAGCGAGCCATTGAGACTCTAGAAAAGAAGAGCAAAGCGAGTCATTGTGGCTCTAAGAAACCTCCACGGAAAAATATTATTTTTACAAATGAGTGTATATGTATATCTATCTATACTTATATTAAAGCATCATGTTCATTTTTATTGCATGATCAAGTATGATTGCACGAGATTGCATAATGAGTATGATTGCACGAGATTTCATAATGAGTATGAGATTGCACTAGCATATTGAGTATATGATCGCATGAGATTGCATAATGAGTATGATTTCACGAGATTGCATAATGAGCATGAGATTGCACTAGATTGCATATTGAGTATATGATTGTATGAGATTGCATAATGAGTATGATTGCATAATGAGTATGAGATTGCACTAGATTGCATATTAAGTATATGATTGCATAATGAGTATGATTGCACGAGATTGAATAATGAGTATATGATTGCACTAGATTGCATAATGAGTATAATTGCACGAGATTGCACTGGATTGCATATTGAGTATATAATTGCACGAGATTGCATAATGAGTATATGATTGCACTAGATTGCATTATGAGTATGATTGCACGAGATCGCATAACGAGTATATGATTGCACTATATTGTATATTGAGTATATGATTGCACGAGATTGCATAATGAGTATATGATTGCACTAGATTGCATATTGAGTATATGATTGCACGAGATTGCATAATGAGTATATGATTGATTGTATATTGAGTATATGATTGCACTAGATTGCATGTTGAGTATATTATTGCTCGAGATTGCATGATGAGTGTATAATAGCATGAGATGGTTTAGAGATTATATGATAGCACAAGATTGCTTATTGAGTTAAGTGTTAGCATGAGATGGATTACTGGGATGTATGATGATTTAAGATTATCGACAAGATAAGTATGTGATAGTATGAATTTATTGATGAGCTAAATAGTTGTGAAAGCATGCCTATTTGATAATTAGGTTGTAAGTATATAGAAACCTTATTGAGCATGATTAGTGGTTGCTGAGTGATTGAGTTTGCTTGATCTAAGTTTGAGAACAAATGTTTTCCAAAAGTATATATTGTAGTACTTTACAGGGTTGAGTGGCGTTATACTTAGCTTCATGCTAACGCGTTTGTTTTCTACTTGTTGTTTCTTAACCCCTTTCAGGTGGACCCAGTTTGTGAGAGAGTACAAGTTAGACTAGATTAGCATAGATAACTAGTTGTAGTCTAAACTCTTGATGTTATTACTTTTTGAGATTTGTAGTTGACTACCCTTGTTTTGATGGTGCTGGACACCGGGGTCTCATCCCCTAGTTTGATGGATGTTAGTAGACTTTAATGTTTAGTTTGATTTATCCTTAGCCTGTGCAATCATCGTGAAGGGTGATTGTGGCGGTGACACCTCTATTAAGTTGTTTAGTAAGTTTATTCCGCTGCTTTAGTTTATCTTTAAAGGTTTAGTCTGTTAATTAAGTTTCAAAAAAGTGGGGTGTTACAATAACCCACCAAAACTACTGCCCCGAAGAAGAATCTCCTTGGTGTTATGTCCTTCACGACAAAAAAGGATGGGTGAAACTCAAAGAATACTTTATTATCAGTTGCAAATTTTTGAACCGATAATAAAGAGGTAGATAAAGTGGGAACATGAAGTATATTAGACAAATAAAACGACCTAGAGGGGGTATGAAAAGATGCATGACTAATATGACTAATAGGCAAACATGTACCATCACCTACACGGAGTGTGTCATTACCATTATATTCGTCCGAGATAGAGAGTGCCGCTATATTCGAAGTCGCATGATTCGTTGCACCCGTGTTTGGGAACCAAGTATGAGAGTCCGGTGAAGAATCTGAAGGAGCTCCATGATAAACCATATTAGCCTGTGGATCCTTCATACCGTTTGTAACACGTATGTGCCGTGTGCCCGAAGTTTCCACAAATTTGACACTTCGATTGGCGATTGCTGTTCCTACCACCACGACCACGACCACCGCCATTCTCGCGATGACCGCTACTACCGCCGTGAGACTGCCCGGAGCCACGTCTACCACCGTGCGACGAGCTACCTCTGTCGCGCTGCTGCTGCCCGGTTTTCTGGACAAAAAAAGCTGCCTGCGACGGTCCTCCACTGCTGGCGATGAACTCCTCGGCACTGAGGAGGTTCGAGAATTCATGAAGGGTCACCAGTGGTCCTCAGACATTGAGAGAAGATACAAGATCCCGAAATTCAGGCTGTAAGATATCAAAATATCTCATTAGTTTTTAATATTTTGCCCCCACGATCGAAGAATTCTGGATCCGTCCTTGGAAATGAGAGCTCTATTTATAGTCGAGAAAATGTAACTTCCACGTGAGCAAAGGTCTAGCCTCTGTGGTTCATGTTCAATTTTTTTTTTTTTTTTTTTGAATGCTACTGACTCTATTACATTGTAGTATCTGTTCAAAGTGGTTCATGTTCAATTGAGTTACCATGATTTACATTCTCCCAGATGCTCTGTTGGACCGGGGTGTGGGGGGCCTTTAAGGTTGGGGTTCAACCTTTTGAAAAGAAAATGTAACTTCCACCATACAACAAACTCCGTTAATATTTATTATATTCAATAAATAAATAATTATTTAGGATGAATAGGAAGAGTTTATCCAAAATGAACATTATATCCACTTTGAAGATTCAATTATTATATTTGAATTTAATTTAATTAATTATAATTATTTAAATTCAAATATAATAAAACTTAGTAAAATTTAAATAAATAAATAAATATATATTGAACTGAGGAAGCTGTGGAGCTGCGGTGGAGAGGAAGCTAAGGTGATCTGATGAGGGAGAGATTATTGAATTGAGTGGAAGAGGAAGAAGCAGTAAAGCAATGAATTAACGAAGACCAATGAATTAATTTAAGGAAGACCAGGCCAGATCCACATTTAATTATTGATTTAATTTGTGATAAATCCGATGAAAAGTACTATACGCAAATTAAATTAAATTAAATTAAAGCATCCTATCCTATCCGGCCTAAAACAACGCAACACCACAACTAACCCTTTGCTTTAACTATAAATACCATTGCCCATATATACACACAATAAACACACCAAACAATAAACGATAAACGATAAACGATAAACGATAAAGATAAACAATAAACAATAATGGCGGCTGCCCAGAAGTTTGTTGCAGTGTTTTTGGTGTGCATATTTGTCCTCGCTGTCGCGGCTGATGCGGCAAGGGACAAGGAGACACTTAAGAGCGAGGACAAGTCATTTAAGGACGAGGACAAGATTCTTAATGATGAGGATAAGCTTCTTAAGGACAAGGATAAGGTTCTTAAGGACGAGAATAAGGACGAGGGCAGCAAGGCTCTTAAGGCCGAGGATAAGGACGAGGGCTCGGCTCTTAAGGAAGAGGGTTTGGCTGGTAAGGACGAGGGCTTGGCTCTTAAGGCTGAGAGCTCGGCTCTTAAGGAAGAGGGTAAGGACGGGGGCAAAGCTCTTAAAGACGAGGGAAAAGCTCTTAAAGACGAGGGCAAAGCTCTTAAAGATGAAGGCAAGGCTCTTGAGGATGAGGACAAGGCTCTTAAGGACGGGGTAAAAACCTAGAAGAATAATAAAGCAATTTATTAATATTTAAGGTGAAACATCATAGGATTTCTATATTTGAAGTCAAGATCATATTTTAAGATAGTGTCAATTTTTCTTGTCACCCCTATATCATATCATGTAAAGACTATATGTCATTTTTTAATAGTTGAAAATAAAGCTCATGCTTCACGTATTCTTATTGAATATATAATCAAAATTTTATCATTTTTGTATAGCACTAATAATCAATGTTGCAAAAAACGTTAGGGGGCGCCTAGGCGTTGATTTTTTTATTTTAATTTTATTTTAATTTTTTTATTTTTTAATTAAAAATAAAATTAAAAATTAAAATTTTTTAAAATTTATTAATAAAACATAAGATTTTCATAGTTATTCCTCAAGTAACTATTTACAAAAGTGGTTTAAACCATCTAAATACATAAAAGCTAAAGAAGCATATTTTTGAGAAATTAGTGGACCAAACCGCCTTCGACATTTTGAGGTGGATAGATCTCGAAAAAATACGCGATTTGAAAAAAATTTATCCAAAACGGACAACCGAGTCAAAAGTTATGTCTTCCCAAACTTTTCGCAATTAAAACGTAAAAAAAAAAAAAAAAAAAAAAATTAAACTGCCGGTTCAGTCGGCTAGGCAGGCTAGGCGGCTAGCCGGCCGGGTGCGAAGGTCGATTTCGGCCTTTTTCGCCGCAGCGGCCGGGCGCCTAGCGCCTAGGCACCGATTATTAATCGGTAATGAAAACTAAACTAATAAAAACATAATTGAAGATATCATTCAATTAATTTTACAATAAGAAAATTAAAATATTATAAAAGATCAAAATATTATTTATCTAACACTGGTTTGATTTTATTTTCACTATAAAATTTATTAATATTGTTGATCATGGATCTTACAAAATGCAATGAAATCCCCCCATTCACTCTCTTTCTTACAGCAAATTTTGAAGTAATATAATGATAATATATGAATATTAAAACACATAATATATGTTCCATGCACCTCAACTAAATGATCAAAGACAAATAGTTTTAATATTGACAAGTAACACAAGATTGGTAATGAGGAAATAAGTAAATAAAATTTAATAAGTAAACGAAATTTAATCCTCATTAAATTAAAGTAGTACAACAACACTTTTCGAAAAGGTAATTAAGTGGAACATGACTCTTTTAAAAAAATAATAATAATAATAATAATATTATTATTAACCAAACATACTTTATTTGGAACATTATAAAAACACAAATTATTTGATTTCACAAATAAAATATTTGATATTCTAATAATAGTTTATTTCATTTTTGAATTGGTCTTAGATTTATAGGTGTCACTCTACTTTTAGTTCTTTTTTAAGAACATACATTGGTTGTTCTAGTATAATCAAGATTTAAAAAGTAGTGAACAATTTTTTTTTTTTCGTAGTAAAAATAATATTTTATCATTTGCTGTAATAATTTAAAAAGATTAATGTAATTATCTTTATTTTTAATTAATAGTAGGTCAATTCATGAGCATCCAATAATGACGAGAAGCCACATCAGAGTGGGAGAAATAAGAGGGAAAATTCACAAGGGGAAAATACCATTTTCCATTTAAAAAGTAATGTTTTTTGAAAATAAAAGTAATGTTTTAAAACTTCAATGAAATCTAAACTAATAAAAATATAATGAGTTAATTCCAGCATTGGTCCTCCGACTATCGTGATTTTCTACAATTGGTCCTCGACTTTTTAATTTAGACACTGTAGACACTTGACTATCAAAATGTTTCCAATGTTAGTCCTTCCGTCAACCCCTGGTTAAGTGGATGTTAAATTGTGGGCAAAAATTGTCTTTCAACATGCTCAAGTGTCAATTAACTCTCCCTCCCTCTCTTTTACAATTGAGTTCAGTGTCATACCATATTTATCAGCTACCCTCACTTGAAACACGCATTTATGCAATTGCAGTCCCAACTTCAAGTCCCTTAAATTCCCACAAGCTGATGTGACACTGACCATAGTCGATGCAATCCAGTCTTCTTCATCTCCAGAGACAACTTAGGTGCTTCCTTTTCCCTCCCGGCTTGTGCCAGCCCAGAAATCATGGCATTCAAAGAACCCAAAGCTCTGTCACCACTTTCATCAAACACCTTGTGTGCATCTTTAAATTCATATGCTATTGCATACAAACTAATAAACCCACTCTCACAATACACATGAGTGCTCAACCCAATCTTTAGAGCATGGGCATGAATCTGCTTTGCTAGACCATAATTCAAATCTTGAGAACTTGCCTTCAACATAATGGACAGTATATATTCATCTGCAGAAACGTTGGCTCTACTCATGGCTATGAAGACTTGTATGGCTTTCTTGAGAGAGTCCAGTCTTGTGTATGATCGCATGATGTTGTTCCAATAAAATGGTGCGGGATAGAAATCTAGGAAAACGGGTTCGGATTATCTTGGAGTGAATTTGGGTGAGGTGTTGAAGGGTGGTGCAGGTGGAGACTTATATTAAAAGATAATTTTAGCCCTCAATTTAACATCTACTTAACCCGGTGTTGACGGAAGGACTAACATTGGAAACATTTTGATAGTCAAGTGTCTAAATTGTACACATTAAAAGTCAAGGATTAATTGTGGAAAATGATAATAGTCGGAAAACCAATGCTGGAATTAACTCAATATCATTCAATTAATTTTATAATACGAGTCAAAATTCGCTAAGGTGTGGCCTAGGATGAATTCAGATTAGTCAAATCAAATAAAACGAATCAAATCTACCACTAAGAGTCAAAACTTGCCAATATGTTGTGTTCCAAATTATGATATAACCATGGTTGCAATAGGCGCTAGTCGGACGGTAGAGTAGCGCCTAAACGACTAACTAAAAAGAAAGAAAAACATGTACGTGAGTAGGTATATATATATATATATATATATAAATGAAAAAAATTAGCAAAGGCTGAGTCAGTTAGGTTAATTGGACTGAAATGGACGAGTTAACTTTGTCGAATTCGGCCTAGTCGGCCGAGTTAAGACAAAGAAGGGGATTGGATGCTTGTGGGAGATGTTCCATTGGATGTGTGGGGCTTCAGTAGGTTCTATACAACATTGTAATAAAGTCAATAGCTTTAAAAAAAAAAAATTCTTCTTTTTTTTTTTTTTTTTTTTTTTTTTTTTTTTTTCTGAGCTTGATAGTAGGGGTGTTAGCGAACAGAGCTTTCGACAAACTACTCGTGTTCGTGTTCGGTAAGCGTTCGTTTATGTTCGTTTGTTAAGGTAAAAGAACATTAACAAACAAACTTTAGAGCTTGGTTAATAAACGAACAGAGCTTGAACAGTTCTAAGCTCGTTTGCTAAGCGTTCGTTTATGTTCGTTTGTTAAGGTAAACGAGCATTAACAAACAAAATTTAGAGCTCGATTAATAAACGAACAGAGTTTGAACAGTTCTAAGCTCGTTTACTAAGAGATCGTGAACAAGCTCGTTTGTGTTCGTTTAATAATGTTCGTGAACATGTTCACAAACATATATATATATATATATATATATATATATATATATATATATATATATATATATATATATATATATATATATATATATATATATATATATATATATATATAATATTGAGTTAATACCATCTAGGGTCCTCCGAGTATAGTGGTTTTGCCACGTTTAGTCCTAAACTTTCAAATTACCACCCACGGTCCTTCGACTTTCAAATTGTTACCATCCGTAGTCCAAGTTAACCACTCATGGTCCTTCAACTTTCAAAATTTAACCAGCCACGGTCCTCTTTGAAGGACCATGGGTGGTTAAAATTTTACAGTTGAAGGGCCATGGGTGGTTAACTTGGACCACAGATGGTAACAATTTGAAAGTCGAAGGATCATAAGTGGTAATTTAAAAGTTTTGGACTAAACGTGGCAAAACCACTATACTCGGAGGACTCTAGATGGTATTAACTCATATTATATTATATTATATTAGTTATGTAGTTGTGTTGTTTGTTTGATTATTGTTCGTGAACGTAGATTATTTATTGTTCACGAACGAATTGTGATCATGAACATGTGCAGGTGTTTGTTTATTAAGTGTTCATGAACGTAAATAAATATGTTCGTGAACGTGCTTGTTAATGAACATGTTTGTGAACGTGTTTGTTAATGTTAACGAACACGTTTGCGAACGTGTTCACGAACATTAACAAACACGTTCGCGAACATGTTCGTTAACATTAACGAACACGTTCGTGAACGTGTTCGCGAACGTTACGTTAACGAACACTAACGAACATGAACAGAATTTTCAAAAACATTAACAAACAAACACTCACACTCACACTCCAAATTCCTTAACAAATGAACACAAACAACCTCCGTTCGTTTATATTCGGTTCGTTAACATCCCTACTTGTTAGAACAACACACTATTTTGGTTTATAGAATGAAATGAAAGTCTGCCTTGTTTTTACCTATATGAACATGAATGAATGGAACTGAGCTTTTTCTTTGTTCCCTTTGCCCTGCTCTTATTGCTTAGTAATTTATGATGTGTTAAAAGCCAGTCCAAAGCCATGCAAAGGAGATTACTTGCCTTACATTATGATGGGAAACTGACTAAACTAACAATTGCCTTAAAGTTTAGACACATATGTCTTGTTCTTTTCTTTTATTAAAAAAAGAAATTAGCTCACAACATTAATTGTGGGATGAATGCCATATTTGCTTCATTAAACATACAGATTTCATAGTTTTGAAATCAACTAATAAATGTTGGATAATAAGGTGGAAAATTCCAAAATAATAATAATCCTACGGAAAGATTAATATTATATGGGAAAAACAGAAAACTGGGAAGGAAAATGTGGAGTGTTTGGATATAGGTTTAGCACGAGTTCGAACACAATGCTCTTTTCCTTAAAACTTTATTTGCTACCTCCCACAAGTGCTAGGAGCGTTGTAGCCTAGGTTTCCCAGGATAAAACGTGCAGAGAGAGAGTAGAAGCAGAGTTTTGAGAAGCTGAAAGCTACTGGAATTCCTTTCGTTTTGTTGTACTGTCAGCTACTGGAATTCCTTTCGTTTTGTTGTACTGTCTTGTACTGTCTCTTTATATAGGGATGTTGGAAGGGATAGCATTCAACATGGCATTTAATTGGTATTATTAAACCAATTGTATAA